CCGGCCGGCAGGGCGAGCCGAGGCCCCTCTCGCCGCGGGGAAGGGGCGGGAGGGCTGTTCCCGACGGCGTCCCCTGAGGCGAGCGGGGGCCGAGCCCTCGGCCCGGGGCGGAGGGGCCGGTGTCTGGCCTGGCGGCTGGGCCCCTGGCCAACATCTGAAAATGGCTGGACACCCAGCTTTTTAGGTTGGAGTAATTTAAGCTCGAGTTTTAAACCGATTCTTCTTTTTTTTTTCCCCTGTTAAAGTCCTGCTGCGTACGGGTGGGTGTGTATTAGCGTGGTGTGGCAGCGTGGGGACTTTTAAGTCAGCTAAGCACAAAAAAAAAAAAAAGATTGTGCTTATATTTAGTGCTTTAGTTGCTGCCAAGGGGCATGCGAGCACCTGAGGGAGAAAGGAAATCCGGAGTTGCTGTAAGATGGGATGCTAATCGTCGTCTTTTCCTTGCGCTTCGCTGTTAATCGTCGTCTTTTCCTTGTGCTTTGCTGTCTTACACGCCCTGCCACACCGCCATTCGGGCTGTCCGCACGGTTTCTTCCTCCCTGCTCCTCTCTGCCCTTTTACCTGTCTGGCACCGTGAGTATCGCTGAGTATCTCAGACTGAGTACCTCTCTCTGGCAGAAACGGAGTGAGGGAGGTTTGTGCCACCTCTCTGAACGCAGCAAGCCCCTCTGCGGCATGCCGTCCCCATACTGCTCGTCGGTGCTGAGCCAAGTAGTGGGCTGAGGAGCCCTCAGCCTCTAAAATCAGCAAAAGCACAGTCTGGCTGTCGTGAATGTAGACCGAGCTTTGCATTTTGTAACTCCTGACTGCTGTGGATAGCAAATCTTAAGCTCTCTTAACTATCCGAAGTTTGTCTGAGCTTATGGCTTAGCTGCTATCATGTAGAGTTTTATGCATGTCTATGCAGGTACGCAAAAAAAGAGTATACACATGCAGGATACGTAACCTCAGTAGATCTAAGAGATCCAGGTGGACCCAGCAGATATCCTCAATGCGGTCCCCCAGTGCTTTCTGAATCCAAGAAAGCAAATCCAGAAGTTGGTTGATAGTGGAAACATTTTCTGACAATTTTGAGTACTAAGTACAAACTGTGCAGGAGAGTTGGTAAATGTATTCCTTAAACCTTGAAAGGCATATTTTAGAACCTTTTAAGAAGCTTGCGGTTTACGTAAAATATGGTATATAATAACAGAAGTTAGACATTCAGTACTTTCTCTTCTACTTAGGTAAAATGCTGTGCTTTTGAGCCTATTTTGCAATAGAGTTGCTCCATAGTTTTGATGAAAAACAGTGCAAAATCATTGTAAAGATAAACCTGCTAAGCCAACAACGGAAAAAGCAAAACAAAACCTGACTGATGGTCTCATAGATCTTTACAATGCATCCCCCACCCCCTGAAAAAATAATCACTGAGATCTTTAAATAAACTTGTAGTTTTCACTTAATTCTTCCTGGGTTTTGTCTTTGAAACTTGTGACTTGGTCTCCTTTACAAATTAAGTCTATTTTGTGTATAAATCGGATTTTTTTTTTAATATTCAAAAAGAGAAAAAGTGAGTAAGTTTCATTCTACATGGTTCCTGCAGCTTCCTTCTTTGTGCGCGTGAACTTTGTCAGTGTTCATGTTCACATTCACTGTATGAATTAAATGTTGGAGTAATTTTCAGTATTATTTTAGTGCAGGTTTGCACCACTATTAGTGGCAGAATGAGACAGATTTCTCTTAGACTGAGGTAATAATTGGGAAATTTGTTATATCTCTGAAGATTCATTATATTACTTTCTCAATCTTAATCCTTTGATGAAAATATAGTAAGTTTCTCACAGTATCTTCCTTACAGTCACACAAATGCACAAACTTATGACTCCTAAATACAATGACACAGAGCATTTTAAGAGCTCAGATCAGTACCTTAAAGGGGTTTACTGTCTTCTCTTTTTTTTATCCCCCCCCCCCCCCCTTTGTTCTGATGCAGGAAATGAGAAACTGGGATTATTTACAGAAGAACCCTCAATGTTCGTAATGATCTGCATTCTTCCTCACTAAGGTTCAGGGGCTGGAGTACAGCTGTGCTTCAGTTGTTAAGGATGACTGGGTCAGAGAAGGCCACTTGGTACTTCTGTTGCTATTATAAAGAAGGGGGAGTTCAGGTGATAGTACTGTTCGGTGTTAGCTTTACCAATCTGCATTTTCTGCAGTGTTTTGTTAGGCTTTTTGTTTGTAAAGCTAGGTGGAATGCAGGAATAAGTACATGGACAAATAAGGGATAGGGAGTAGCTAGAGAGATAAAATATTTACAGGAAAAAAGATCTGGTCTTTATGGTGGATTATAAACAGAACCTGAGTCAACAAAGTCTACGCTTAAGAAAAAAAGTCAAACTTCCTTCTGGCATGAATGGCAGAGCTTCCAGAATGTGCTAGTTGGGCTAGTGTGTCCATTCTGCAGTAAAAGATGCAGACCAGTTGGGCAGAATTCACGGGAGAGCGGTAGAACTTGCAAAACGGGACTTGAGGAGAACAAGTGAACAATTTGGCCTTATTCTAGAGAAGGGGTAGGGCAGAAATCTTAACATTTATAAAAGGCGGTTCCAAGAAGGAAAGAAATATCTTCTTGAGTGTAAACTGTTATAAGGAAGATTTAGGCTAGATAATACACAATATTTTCTAGCAGGTTGGCAAAGTGAACATACTGGATATTTTTGGACATTGTTTCTGTTGAACTTGGTTTTCAGGACTATGAAACAAAAAATTTTCTTTCACACTTTAACTGGCCATTATGTTCAAGGACATGTTTCTTTACAGATTCAGGAAGTATCTCGTGACATCAGAACATCAGTGTTTCACAGTTGCAGTGTGATATTTCCTTGTTTAGCATCATAAATTAGGTGGTGCATTTCTTCTAGATCAGGGATGCATGTTAGCATTTCTGATGAGGAGGAAGAGGAGATATCCAAAATGGAATTGATTTATATTTCTTCATAGTCAGGAAATTTGTGAATCGTGTTGGTTTTGTAGTGTGTAGATGCGCTGGTAATGCAGTCCATGGAAACTGTGATACAACTGAGAGAAGGTGAAATGGTCACTCTAGTCATGTTTGAGTGCAGTCAGAGCTCATTGTGTGAATGAGATTGTTTTGGCCTTCTTCAGTTATTTCTACCCAGCGTGTCAAAAGGGTGGGTGGAGGGAGTTCCGTGTATGGTCAGCATTTTAAACCATTCCTGTAGTGTCTGCCTATCACAGAAAATCAATAGTAACTGCATACTACCTGTATAGTCATGTGTAGTATCTGATACTTACTTTTCAGAGTCAAAATCCTACTAGGATTAAGTTGAACTTTGTGTTTCTTTGGGGTATTGTGGGTGTGGATTGAGGGGAGTCTTGGGGGGGAGTCTTCTGCTTGAAGATCAAGTTTTAGAAACAAAGGGGGTTGTCAGAGATGGGAATGGAACAAATACTCTATTGCCACATCTCTGAAGGCTGTGGTTAACACAGTATATCAGAAATAAAATAGTCAGTTTGTGCAGCAATGCCAGAGAAAATACAAGATTTTGTGTGTTGCTATGAAAACATCTTTATGTCTCTGTGGTTTTCTTTCTTTTTTTTTTTTTTTTCTTTTTCCTTGGCAGATCTTGTGAAATTAGGAGGGCTCCTGTTGACATGGTTGGCTGCTTGGTACTTGGGATGCTTATTTGCTGCTTTTATGCCCAAAAAAGCAATTACAACATCTATTGCTAATCTTCAAGGCATTGGAAGGAAACCAGTGTTGAGGGGTGTGTAGGTGTATTTCTTTTTTTTCCTTATACTGTATCTAATGTTGTTTATTCACATGGTAAATGACAAATGGCTTGTGGGCTAATAAATGATTTGATATGTGCTATTGTAAGAATGAAGTTGGCTGTGTAAAGTTAATTAAGTAGTGCAAGTCTGAAATATTTCTTAGACGCTATCTTTGAAGAAACACAATGTCAGCCTATATTTGCCAGTGTGCAAATATAATTAATTGAATAGTAATGTAAGAACACCTTATTTGTTTTCTGGCATGTAAGCACAAAGCTGCAGCTGCAGCTTTGGTTCTATCACGTGTATTTTACAGTTATGGTAAACTGTTGAATCACAAACCAAACTTTGTGATTAAATTCTCATTGTTTCCTTCCTCTAATCTTAATGTGTACGTTTTTCTCATTCTACGACTATGTTATCCTGTGAAAAAGGCTTAAAATGAGAATGATAAATGTTAACTTCAAGCTATTGGTAGGAATCCTTCATCCCTCTAGCCCTTGTTTCCTGTTATATGAAATAGCACAAAATAATTACTCTAGATTCAAATCAGCTGATACTACATGGGGCATTTTTCCCTAGATATGCTTGCTCTTGGTCCCAGCAGCTGTTTGAAAGTCTTAACTTAAAGCCCAGGCAAATCTGTGATAATTTTGCCATGATACTGGAAAACTGGCAGGTTTGGCTTTTGTGTATATATGTTTGAGCTTAGCTTGTTGACAGTAAGTGATCCTTTCCATGTAGAAATTGTTTATGCAGCATCCAAGAAAACATTTTCTCATCTTTGTTGTTGTAGCCCCTGTCCCAAAAAGGCAGAAGTGTGATCACTGGTCTCCCTGCTCACCTGGGAACTACGCCTATCGGATTCTTAGCGGTGGTGGCAAAGTAAAGCTGGCTAAAATTTGTTTTGAGGATGACCTGTGAGTACCAGTCTAACTTTAAATCTAAGCAAGTGCTTTGTAGTGTAAAGAAGGGTACTTCATTTTGGTTCACTAGCAGCAAGTAAACTCCTACCAGGGGGTTCCTATTCTGGTGATAAACTTCAGAATATATCTGACTATCGGATTCTTAGCGGTGGTGGCAAAGTAAAGCTGGCTAAAATTTGTTTTGAGGATGACCTGTGAGTACCAGTCTAACTTTAAATCTAAGCAAGTGCTTTGTAGTGTAAAGAAGGGTACTTCATTTTGGTTCACTAGCAGCAAGTAAACTCCTACCAGGGGGTTCCTATTCTGGTGATAAACTTCAGAATATATCTGACTGACTTTAACTCTTCCCCCCCTAATCTCAGGTTATTTTCTTCATTCCTCTACATAAGCTGCATTCAACTGTTAGTTTCAAGTATGATTTTTCATTTTCATGGTGCGGGATAGCCAGTTTACAGTATGTTGAATGGTCAACACCTTCTAAAAGTCAAGTTCTTTCATGGCTTTTCAAACTGGACAGGTAGAGACACTTCAAAACCTTGCAATGATCTTTTGTGTAGATATAATCCACAGAGAATACTGCCACAAAACCACATTTTATCTTGTTTTTTTCTACTGTATCTTTCTGGCTGCATTTGTACGAAGTACTTTCTTGATCTGGCTCATTTTAAAAGACTCATTGTGTGTTGTTGAAGGAAACTGACTGATAAAATGTGCAAGATTTTTAAGCCATAGCTCTTGTTTACTACAAAGTCTTGAATTAAATAACTGAAGAAAACATGAACGTCAGAAAGTGACGTAGCACTGGTAAATATAACTTTGGATCAGAGCTTCTGGATGGATGCATTCTACTGATACTGTATTTATTTCGATTCCAGGCTTATAAGCGAAGAGAAGGGTAATGTTGGAAGAGGTATAAACATTGCCGTTGTGAATTGTAAGTAAAAGAAAATATGTTAGAGAGAGACATACCTTTGTACTGCAATAATTTACAAAGGTTCTTGGGGGGGTGGGGGGTTTTTTGCTTGGTTTGTGTTTTTTTTACTAGCTAGTATGGAAGGAAAGGGAAAGGCAAAAATTGCAAACTTGATTCATGTTAAGTGTAAGAAAAACAAATCTGTGTTTGAGAGAAATAGTCTTCCGGATAAACAAAAGAAACATGTTGATAATCAGTATAAGAAAATAGAAAATGTGTACATAGAAGCGGTATATGTGTACTTTATTAGATAAAAGAACTGCTTCTTATGTAACATAGCAAAAATATCCGTGATCTCCAGCATTAAGACTCAACTTTCAGGTTCAGTCCTCGATAAAAGGTATCTACTGCTCCACTGATAAGGGGCAAGCAGTAACTGAGAACTGCAGTTCTGCCCCAAGGTACAACCAAGGTACAAATTCCTTTTCCAGACTTGGTCAGTGGACCAAAAGACAAACTCAAAGCTTGATTAATACTAAACTGTCATTATATGTCTTTGCTTATAGTAGGAGCTATTGGAAAGCAGAAGGTGCAGTTTATTCTAGATCTGGAGGCACCATTTTAATTTAGATGAATGGGAATGGTGGTGAAGTGCAGTGTATTCAATAATGGATCCTGAGAAAAATGAATGCCTAAATGTTGTGGGGGAGGGAAAGAAAGGGAGTTCAGATGCACAGTCAAGTTGGCTTTGATCACAAAACACTTATGTTCCAGTTTTTTTGTCTCAGTATTGCTAAGCAAGATCTTGACCTTGTCTAAACTTGCATGATTTTATTGAAGTCACTGGGTTAAATTACCATAGACAAGAATCTGTTCCAATTTTTTTTTTCCCAGTGCAGGTTTTTTTACTGCATTTTTTTTCCAATAAGGAATCATAAAAACTTTACTGGTTATAATAGGCAAACAGTTAAAAATGAGTTTTCAGCATACAGCGGTAGAGTAAGAGAGCAAATACTCATCTTGAATGCATAAGCGAGATTATAGCAAATAGGAGTAGGGAACTAGCATTGTCTTTGCATCTGACGTTAGTGAGGAAAAAGAAGTGATATATCAAATTTTACACATTTTTAAATGGCCATTTCCTTCATCACAAATATAGTCATTTTAGCTACACTTTCATCTCCATCTGCAGGTAAATCTGTCCATTATCTCGAACCACTTTGTAGTGAGATGTATTTTCTACATGTCCTCTAATTAGATCAGTCAAGCTAATGACTGTGCTCAATAAGTATCCTATGGCATCACACTTGTATTTTATTTCATAATGATAACTCTTTCTTCTCTGAAAGAATATGGTCCTTTGTAAGAAGGAAGATAGAACTATTAAGCCCAAGCTAACAACACAGAGGGAGAGAGAAAGAATTTTGTGGACTTCTGCTGTCCTCACTACAGCCTTTTCCATTTTTTTGTGACCTCGGCTCAGAAGAAGCCTAGTTCTAGAATGCTGTTGTACCACTGGCGGATTTTTGCCACCTTTTTCCCTCATCAGCGCGATAAACCTGCCATTTAGAGTCCTATGTTCAGAAGAATTTGCCTTCATGATTTTATCGTATATGGATCAAAGATAAGCCAGAAAGGAATCAGAAACTGCTGGATCTTCTCACTAGAGACGACCTGATGCACTCTAAATGGAAAAGACCCCCTCATGTAGCAGGGATCCAACCAGGGTCTTGGATAACGAAAATCGATTAACTCGGCATGAATTTAGAAATTTGAAAAGTATTTCCAATTGTACATGTCTTGCTTAAACAAAGATAGCCATCTAAACAGCATCATAATTTATGATGAATATTGACCGGAATGTTTTGGAATTACTAATTGCTTGCATGCCCAGTTTCTGATACGGTAATGATGAGTGTTGAGTTTCAGTCCACTGAGATTCAAATGGCATGAAAGCTTGCACATCTGAAACACTGCACGGAATAGTATTAAGCTCATTCAAATAGCCTTAGGCTTAACCAATTTTCCTATTTATGGTTGTGAGCTAGTATAGTATATATAGATATAAAAACATGGAAGCACACAGTAAACTGAATTCCTTCTCAAAATAAAAAGTAATAAAAATGTTTTAGTCACATTTGATGATTCAGAGACTACATGAAACAAAATATTCTCCCCAAATCTTAAACGTTATTCCATATTCCTTCCAATTTAAAAACTTAAACAAAAGAAAACTCAGAAGCCCAATAATAGGCAAAATTAGAGATGCCTAGCTTTAGCTGAAAACGCTGTATATGCTGATTGAATTTGATCATTTTTGCTCATACTTACACAACTTTTTTTTTTTAATTACAGATAAAACAGGAAAAGTTACATCGGCAAAATATTTTGACATGTGGGAAGGAGGTAGGGAAAAGAGTGCAATAGAGCTTCTGTTAGTATTTCAGCATTAAGAAAGAACTTATATCTATATAATTATCCTGCTCTTTCATACTGCTATGATTGTCTTATCGACAGGGATCGGCTAGAAACAAACAGCTGTTGTCTTCACAAAATATGCTCTGGCCGGATCTGATGACAAAGTTTGCCTGAAAAGCTGAATTTCTCCTGTTAGTTGAGATAGTTAATTGTCTTTTTTTTTTTTTTTTTTTTGGCCTTTTTTTTTTTTTTTAATTGTCAAATTGTCCTTTTTTAATTGTCTCTTTTTTTTTTCCCCCCATTATTTCAGTCTGGTAGGAATAGCACTTAACCAGGTACCACACCCAGATACTTCACTCAGCAGAATTCCTTTTCCTGACATATTTTGTTCTATTTTAGTTGTAAAATCATCATAGGAAATATGCTAGTCTGTCTTGAACATCTTTCCATGTAGCTAGAAAGATGATCTACTTTAAGAATAGCTTTTAACACGTTTTCCAAACTTTGAACGAAAACAGTTTCCTTACCTATTAGTAAGGAGAAACAGAATGCTATGAGGCACTGGAAGCTGATTCTCTGACCACTTAAGAATGCTGGTGGCTTTATGTGCATGAATAGAAATCACATTGGGACTAATCATGAGGCTACAATTTTATATATGGTATGTAGACTGTAATGTCTCCAGGGTGCCTGTTACATTTTTCTGTATGGAAAACAAGTGTCCTGTGTATGTTTAGCAATTGCAAAACCAGTAAAAATAGCTTAGTGCTGCAAATACGCTGCCACTTAATGAAAGTGGGTGTACAACAGGGTGTGTAACTCAGCTCTGAAGTTAGCATGATAGTAGGAAGCTCACAGAATAGCAATGGCTTCTTCTGGGCTATTCCATGCTTTGCTTGTATGTATAATATGTGAGGTAAACATGACAAACCATCTATATCTTACCCTGGGCGAAAACGGCTTTTGTAGAAGCTCAGAAGTATCTTTGTTTACTACCAGGAAATGCAGATCAGTCCATGCTCTCCTAGCCTTCAGTGAGAACTAGCAGCTTTTTGCACCTTTCAAGATTAGGCCCTCTGCCTGTAAACAGAAAAATTGCCTAGTTAGGTCTCATTTTGAATAGACAAGGCCAAAAAGTGAAAACAAGTTGAAAGTAGGTGGAATGTGGTATGTGTGTAATGAATAATCAGTTGCGTAATTGATTCAACAGAGCACTCGGGAGAGATGGTGACTTTCATTAAAAATGCACCAGAAGGGTCCCTCCTTTTGATGGTGACTCATGATGATGGAAGCACCTGGTAAGCAAGTTATTCATGACAGGCTGAGGAACAGAGCAATTAATAGCTTGGAAATCACTATTGCATAATGGTGTAAAGGAATGGTAAATTTCACTCTATAGTGAGGGTTGTTCTCTCATTTCCTGCCTAAAAGGTTTTGATTCCATGTCCATTCAGCGCTTGCCCGTATCAGGTATGTTGATGCTTCCAAAGATGGGTAGATAGTGTTACATTTGTTTAAAAGCACCAGTGGTCCTCATAAAGGACATTGCTGTTACCTCTGGGTCACAACCTTCTATTAAGAAGGTATCCACACTTCCAATTATAATGTATCTAGTTTGCATTCCTTCCTACATCTTAACCTGATTCTTCAAGTGCTTTCAAATCTTCGGGTTGTTTTAGTTGAATTCATGATATGGTAATTATACAGGGAAAGACTTAATCATTCGGTTGATAAGCATTTGATGCCCTTGTCCTTATTTAAGAAGGGTTGAAACATCAAATAGTATTTGAGATACACTTTTCTTCCTGCTATGCTGTTGCAAACAGGTTGTATTAACATCAGGAATGTAGAGAGGAGGAAGAAAAAGAATTTTGCCCTGTGAGTTTAATGGCATGCTACTAAGACAGCTCTCAGGATTTTTTTAAACTTCTCATCGTTGCTTCTGCTCACCTACTAATGTAAAGCATGAATCAGCTGTGTTCTTTTTCAGCATTTTTCCCATCCTGAATTTTTAACACTTTTTCTCACTAAATTTTCCTAGGTTGAAAAATGACGCCAAAAAACTAATAGAAGAGCTGGGAAGTAAAGAAGTATGGAACATGAAGTTCAGGTCAAGCTGGGCTTTTATAGCTGCCAAAGGCTTCAAGCTGCCAGATAATATCCAAAAAGAAAAGGTCAGGTTCATTTTATTTTCACTTTGTATTTGTCTGTACATCAGGTATAGCCTTCAGGTGCAGATTTCTTGAGTTAGCTATAATAACTGTAGTCTGTTCAGTAAGCCTCAGTCGTACAAAGCAAGTTCTCTAAGGTGTCATCATTCTTTGCTTTGGATCTGGGCCACGTACAGTACTGACTTCTACCGCACCAGCACTAAGTCATCTGTAGACAAATTTCAGAAGTGACCAGCAATTCTGGAGAGTCTCAGTTTTGAAATGTCCAACCTGATATGCTGTACAGAGACTTACATTTTCTTCTGGAAGGACAAATTCTAAGGACTTCCTAAAAATAAAGACTGTTTTTATATGAAAATTGAGCTGTCTGAAATTGGCCGTGCAAATGCAGCAATGCTTGCATCACAAAACTTTTCTGAATAACTTGCCCTCAGGCTTCAGGAGGACTAAAGATACCATTTTTGTATCAGATTTCTGTTTGCATCTGTGACCTTGTATTTGCTTTCTGTAAGCCCAGTAGTGCTCATCTGTATGACAGAGAGGCAGACAGAAATGAGAAAAACCAATACAGAGGTCAGTTCCCTTGGTGACACTGACTCCCTCCAAAGGCATGTGAAACTTCCATAGGTGTTTTTTTTCCCCAGAATATTGTTGCAATCTTCTTCACATTACAGAGCTTCTGCAGGAAAAAGGCATTCAATTTAGTGTATATTATGACAGTCATCTGGGAAATAAATAAAGCACTGTGTAAGAGAGAAACTGGTGGAATCTTCACCCATTATGCTGAGCAAGATGTGCAACGTGCTACTTAGCTTCCCAGTCCTACCCCATTACCCCTTCTGTTGTATGAGGTTTGACAAACTAGTTTGTAAATGGAGAACCAAATACTGTTTTTTTGTTTGTTTTAACAGATAAACCACTCTGGCAAGAGCAACAGATATGGTGGCTGGCCAGCTGAAATCCAAATAGAAGGCTGTATCCCAAGAAACCTGATCTGAACAAATGCATACCTCATTAATAAAGATGATTCTATATTTTTATATCTATGACTCCAGTAAATTGCCTCCAGAACCCGATAAGCATCTGAACACTAATTGTAAAATAAGTCATATGCACAGTTTTTAACCTTTCTTTCCTCTGTGAGGTTTTACTCTGATCTGAAAACAAATAGGTATTTTGACGACAAGTGGAAATAAAATACTCTGGTTTGGAATTACAATGTTCAGGAAGTCAGTCATAAAATACCAGGCTTTTTGAAAGTGAGTGTACGTTGTCATTAGTAATTTTAGGGTTTTGGTTTTGTTTGTTTATTTGTGTATGTGTTTTCTTTTGGTTCCCTTTAAAGACTAATATGCAAATATAACTTAGTCTAAATTGTAATATAAAATCACTGGAAATAAAGCAAATTATTTTGATGTTAGTTAATTAGTAATGTCATTTCTTTTCAGAAAAAGTATGGAAATAGCAGTTACATTTGTTGAACTGGTCTTAGTGATGTTGACAACATGGAATAGCAATGTTAACATGTAAAGATCAAGTTACTTCAATTATTTTACCAAATTTAAGCCGCAAATCTACAAGGTTTGTTTTAATTATTTTTTTCTTCCTGTAAGTTTAACTTACTTAAAAAACTGTAGTGACTTCATGCAAGGTTAAGTGTTATTCATGCTAACTGTAGAATCAAACACGATTGTAAGGAAACTGCAGAAGCCATTTATTCAATTTCCCTTTTTCTGAAGCACATCAAGTACGTCTAGACCTTTCTTAACTGGTGTTTGTCCCCCGGTTGTTCAGAAGCCTCCCATATGGCAGATTCCACAGCTTAAGTTGCTTCCTGTAGCATTTCACTGTTATTCTAGTTATTCCCCAAACGTATGGAATTAACCTAAAAGGACTGAGCCAATTACATGGAGAATAACTCATCACCATTCTTTTTATGCCAGTCTATCGTGTATCTGAAGACTGTCCTCATCAACTCTCTCATCCCTAGACTGAACCTACGTGGTACATTTTAATCTTTCTTTAAATTTTTGTCGACGTTAAAGTGTTCATTTAACAGCAACTCTCTTAACGTGCTGTGTTTCAAATGGGTCACAGCACTCTGCTGTGAGCATCCCGCACGCTAGACTTCGGGCAGGAGAAAATCAGAAGTGGTGACCTGAGAGGGTGGCTGCCAACAGCCAGATTCAGTCTGCTCTTGCTCTCCGTGTTGCCTGGTTGAAGCCCTCTCGGTGGTGCTCCAAATCTCTACCCTTGTCGCAGCTGCCACTACCTACTTGTGGTCACTGCTATGCTCCCAGCAGCTTTCTGGTATCGCGTCCCCCACCAGTCCCCAAAGCTACATTGCCTGCTACCAGTTTGCAAACTGCTCCATAGCCCAGGGACGCTGCCAATGAAAGCAATTAAATTAGTTAGACTCAATTTGACTTTGGCAGACTCACAATGGTTGCTCCTTGTCACCTTGCTACTGATGAGGTGGTTACAAATTGAGTATGTAAATAGCTGTTTCAATATTTTTCCACATTGTCCTGGTTTCGACAGGGATAGAGTTAATTTCCTTCCTAGTAGCTGGTACAGTGCTGTGTTTTGGATTTAGGAGGAGAACAATGCTGATAACAGACCGATGGTTTCGTTGTTGCTGAGCAGCGCTTACACTAGTCAAGGACTTTCCAGCTTCCCATGCTCTGCCGACTGAGAAGGCTGGGGGGGCACAAGAAGCCGGGAGGGGGCACAGCCAGGACAGCTGACCTAAACTGGCCCCAGGGACATTCCATACCGTGTGACGTCACGCTCAGTACATAAACTGGGGAAAGCTGGC